TGGTCTGATTTGGATTTTGGAAAAAGTCTTTTTATGGGAAGAGAGCAAGGATATGGGACTAATGAGAAGCCTCCTGTCATAATGCCAAGATCCAGGCATCAGTGATGGGGGTGTGGTTGGCTAGGTACTGAGGTAGGAGGTCCAGGAAAAGTTAGCTACAAAGCAGGGAGCACTCCTGAATGACCCTGGATGCCTGTTGGATCTCGGGGTGATGGTGCAGGAGTCCCTGAGCTGGGTACCCAGGGCCTGTCTGAGCTGGAGATGAGGTGGCTGAGGGCCTTGTAGATAAAGGGACTATGTGACTGGGTAGTGAAGGGAGCAGGGGTGCCGCCCCCAAGCTGCTTCCTGCCAGGTTGTGGAGAAAACATGAGGCCTGTAAGAAGGCCAAGAGCTCCTGGGAGAGTGGGATGACCAGGACACTGTCTTTTTGGTTTCAGGGTGACCAGCGGGATGAAGAAGAAGAGACCCAGATGAAGAAGTCAGAATCGGAGGTAGAGGTGAGAGTTCGGGGAGCAGGACAAAGTGAGGTGGGCAGGGCTTGCCTTAGCTGGGCCTGGCTCTCACCCTTTCTTTGTGCCCCTAGGAGGCAGCAGCCATTATTGCCCAGCGGCCTGACAACCCACGGGAGTTCTTCAAGCAGCAGGAACGAGTTGCATCGGCCTCTGCGGGCAGCTGCGATGCACCCTCACCCTTCAACCACCGACCAGGTAGTCCCAGGTCTAACCCCGCCCCCCACCTGACCCCCTCTCCTCAGGTTTTGGGCCTGAGCCTCTCTGCGACTCTTTCTTGGAAGGGAAGCCTTCCTTGCCCAAGGACCCCTTTGGAGAAGGCAAGGCCATCCATTCATCAAGTGTGCTTTCACCCACTGGCTCCCAGGTGGCAGGACTGAGAGGGGCTCAGGTGGGGGGGGGGGTTGGTGTTGGCCTTGGCTGAGCAACAGGTAGTGCTAGAGGTCATCTGGGCAGCTCTGGCATGGGCTGAAACCACCCCTCCCGCCCCCTCCCCCCCGCCCTTGAGTGTGGGGAGTGGCCCTCCTGGGGTTGAACTAGGTCTTGCCTGAAGGGCTGTGGGTGCATGTGCAGTGGACTCTTACTCTGGCCCTGAGTTTGAGCAGCCTGGAGCCTGTACCCAGTGCTCACCGTTGGGATTCTCCCTGTGCAACTTCCACCTCCCTCCACAAAGCACCCTCCTGCTCTGTCTGCTGATCTGAGTGTTTGCCCCTGCTGTGTGCTTGGCCTTGTGCTGGGGTTCCAGGGGTGGGGCAGGCTGTCCCTGTACTGCTTTGAGTCTGGCTTTGTGTGGCAAGCTCATTGCTCTGCTTGTCTGGTGCTGGTGGGAATCATCTGATGGTTTGAGGCTGTGGCCTAGTATGGCTGATTGTGTGCCCTAGCGGAAGGCAGTTTGGACTTCTAGGGCCAGCCCTGGGGGCGGGTGAGGCCTCATGGGGGTGGGGGGGAGACTGACCCTCTCTTGTCCTCTGTCTCTCTCTGTCTGTCTCTCTCGGCAGGTCGTCCGTACTGCCCTTTCATAAAGGCATCGGACAGTGGGCCTTCCTCCTCCTCCTCTTCCTCCTCCTCCCCTCCACGGACTCCCTTTCCCTATATCACCTGTCACCGCACCCCAAACCTCTCTTCCTCCCTCCCATGTAGGTAGCAGCCCCAGGCCTCAGTGGGGTGGGGTAAGGAGGGCCCCGCTTCCCAGCAGTGCCCCTGCCCTCCCCCATCCTGACCGCTGATCTCTGGTGTTTGTCCCCAGAGCAGGTATTACCTGCCTCTTTCCCCTGGCCCTGAAGGGGCTCTTGTCCCAAGGGACCTGGCTTCTAGGGTCTGGAGCTGTGGTCTGGCCCCTGAAGGGCTGGGGGGCTCCTAGCCCCTACCCAGACTCCAGACAGGAGGTGATGGCCAGGCCCCCAAGGTGGACAATCCTGGTCCCACCTGGCTCCCTTGGCCCTTACTGACCAGCCTGGGGGTTTGTTCCATAGGCAGCCACCTGGACAGCCACCGGAGGATGGCACCCACCCCCATCCCCACCCGGAGCCCATCTGATTCCAGCACGGCTTCTACCCCTGTCGCTGAACAGATTGAGCGGGCTCTGGATGAGGTCACGTCCTCGCAGCCTCCACCACTGCCTCCGCCACCCCCTCAAGGTGAATGAGGGGCTGCACCCTAGCTGCACCAGGCCTCTCCCCAGTCCCCAGGCTGGGAACCCCACGTGGCCATAGTAACAACTCCTTAGGGATCTGGGCCACCCATCACTGGGCCTCCCAGTAGCTATGGCAGGGAGGAAGCTTGGTGTTGCAGTCAGACCTGCTATCTCTGAATCTCAGTATCTCTCACTGGAATGCGGATGGGGCCTTCCTCCCAGGGCTGCCGAGCAGTTTAAAGACACTAGGAGATAAAGGGGCAGCAGGGCCCAGTGGGTGTTCTGGAAGGTGCTCTGTATGGAGCTCTTAGTGGAAGCCTTCTGTCCTGGAAGTCAGGGGGTAGGCAGAGTACAGTAGGGTGGCTGTCCCAGGCCTGCTTCTTTCCCTGAGGGAGCTGACCACATCTCTCTCCTGCATTTGTGCTATTGCAGAGACCCAGGAGCCCGAGCCTGGCCTGGATAGTGAAGAGACCAGCAAAGAGGCCAGAGCAACAGCCCCTCAGGCCTGGGCAGGCCCCATGGAGGAGCCCCCACAGGCACCAGAGCCTCCCCAGGGGCAAGGCAGCCCCACGGAGGACTTGATGTTCATGGCATCTCCAGAGCAGGCTGTCCTGGCTGCCCCTCTGGAGCCTGCCATGGCCAACACCACCATAGCTGACATCCCGGTAGCTGATGCCATTGAAACCGACACTGCCACTGCCGATACCGCTGTTGCCAACACCATTTCCCCTGCCGCTGCCAGCCTCATTGACCTATGGCCTGGCAACGGGGAAGAGGCCTCCATATCCCAGGCTGAGCCTAGGGTCCCTACACCACCTTCAGGTGCCGAGGTCACTCTGGCAGAGGTACCCCTGCTAGATGAGGTGGTTGAGGAACCACTGCCACTGGCAGGCAAAGGCTGTGCCAACCTTCTCAATTTTGATGAGCTGCCTGAGCCGCCAGCTACCTTCTGTGACCCAGAAGAGGAAATAGAAGGGGAGCCTCTGGCCACCTCCCAGGTCCCAACTCTGCCCTCTGCTCTAGAGGAGCTGGATCAGGAGCCAGAGCTGGAGCCAGAGCCAGAGCCCCACCTGCTGACCAATGGCGAGACCACCCAGAAGGAGGGGACCCAGGTGGGGCAGGGACAGCCTGGTGGTAGGGGTGGTGGTCAGGGTTCTAGCAGGCAGTACCTCTATTCTCTGAGACCCATATTATTGGAGGGAGGCTCCATTTCATTCTCCCTCCTTGGGCCATCTCTGCTTTTGTGCCCAAGGCAGGCATATGTTTCCCTGGAAACCACTGATAGAATCACTGGTTGCTGGGGAAACGCTCAGGCCTGGTAGGTCAGCCCTAGCCCTCCTGGGTGGGGCCCAGTGACCTGGAGCTTTCCTCCTGCAGGCCAGTGAGGGGTACTTCAGCCAATCACAGGAGGAGGAGTTCGCCCAATCCGAAGAGCTGTGCGCAAAGGCCCCGCCTCCTGTGTTCTACAACAAACCTCCAGGTAGTGCTGGGGTGGGTGATAGGGAGGAGTTCCGGTAGGGGTGCTGGGTTCAAGTGTGAAGATGCGCGCGCACACACATGCACACACACGATCACTTGGGGGTGTTGCGTTCAAGTGTGGATACAGCCACAGCTCCCAGGGGTTTGGGGAAACAGCCATGGATGTGCTGAGCCATCTCATCTTCCCTCCTTTCCCAACACCATAGAAATCGACATCACCTGCTGGGATGCAGACCCAGTACCAGAAGAGGAGGAGGGCTTCGAGGGCGGTGATTAGCGGTGGCGCCCGCCCTCAGGCTGCCCTCGCCAAGGCCGCCCACCTGTGCCGGCCTCTGGCCAGACGGCCCGCCGTGCCTGCACTCGCAGCAGCTCCGCCTGGCACCCACTCCGGATTCCGGCCCTGGCCCGGGACTTGGCCGCTTCCCCACCCACAGGGCCTGACTTTTACAGCTTTTCTCTTTTTTTTAAAGTTGATAGGAGACTTGTACAGTTGACTGGTTTTCCTCCCGTTGGTAGTTGAGACGCTGTTGCAAATTCTACCCCCTCCCCGCCCGGACCAGATTGTAGCTCTTAGTCCTCCCTGCTCACTCAGCTGGACGGGGTGGAGGCCTCGCCCTTCGTGGGAGCCTGGCGTCGGGGGAGCTCTGGTGGGAAAATGCCCCACCTCTTTTCCTAGTTTTATGTTTCTTGGAAAAATATCACTTTGTATTCTCTGTCCAGGGCTTCAGATATTTTGCACGAATTTTAAAACATGGCAATAAATGGCTCGTGGGCTCTGGCTCCCTGGGACCCCCTCCCCGCCCTTCTCTTGACCCCTCCCCGCCTGGCCCAAAGGAAGTAGGCCCAGCTGGGGCCCCTCGGCTTCCAGGCCCTTTCCTGCCCCCCTCCTGCTGGGCAGGTCCCAAGCTGGAGGCCCTAGGCGCGGATCAGGTTAGGGCTATCGGTGGGGCCCGGGGCTTAAATGGCCCCTCCCTAACTCCTCCCTCTTTGCTTGGGTTCCTTTTTCACGTTCAGTAACTGTTTTTGGAAAGCACAAACTTCTGTAACGGGTCGTGCTCATGTCTGTTAATAAAGAAATCCAGATCCCTTCAGGCCTGCTGCTCCGGGCCTCCAGGGGCGGATCTGTGGTGTGCCGCCTCCCCTGACCCCCATTCCCAACTCTTCCCACCTCCAAGGCCACAGGGAGCACCCTCACCGTGATCTCACGGGCAGGGAAGGTAGGGTCTGGAGCTCCCAGGGGAATCAGCCTGTGAAGTTTAGTTCCTCAACCTCAGGTCAGTTTTTAGCCAGAAGACGCGTTCAGGTTCTGGGTCGCCAAGGCCCAGGCACGCCTGGCTACCAAAACCTTGGGCGCAAGCAGTGGGTGCCCCCTCCGCTTGTACCAAACCAGATCACACACCTTTATTATCCTCAAAATGTAACAAACGGGGTAAGAAATCCCTCCCTCCCCACCCCTCCCCGCAGTCCAAGGGAAGCGTTTAAAAAGCCCCGCAGTCAGGCCACGAGTTCGCGGGTGAGGCCCGGAACGCCGGACGCCCCTCTATACGGCTGTAGTCCTCCCGAACAAGGGGATGGAGACCGGCAGGCGCCAAGCTCCGTGCTCCAGCGGCTCGCGGCTGCTGAGTTCCGAGTCGGTCCAGCTGGGGAAGACCCGGCGGCCACGGTCCGCCTGCAGACAGAGCGCAGGGCAGGGGGCCGCTGGCCGCGGAGCGCTGGGCAGGTGCAGCGCTGACGTGTAGCCCCGGTCCAGGAAGAGCGGCTTGTAGCTGGGCGGCGGCTGCTCCTGTTTCTCCGAGCTGTCGCGGCGGCTCAGAAAGGGTGTGACGATCTTGCGGTAGAGGCCGCGCGTGTCCGTGAGCACCTCACTGTAGGGCGGCGGCGGCTCGGCCATCAGCACCGCCTCTTCATAGCACGGTGGCTTGGACATGTCCGATTCCGCTGCGGAGTGGGAAATGTTCCGAGGGTGAGGCCACCCGTCCCTGGCCTCCGGCCAGCTGCCAACCCCAAGCCCAGCCCGCTACCTCCTAGGTTCTCTGGGAGGCTGTCCCATGGAAGGCTCGCCTGTTAGTAGTGATCCCGCCCACCTCTCAGTGGCCCTCGTTGCCCACGGCAGAGGTCTGGGCTTACCTTGACGCGGATAACTCCAAGGCCGCGGCGGCACTGAGAGGTGCGGGGGCGGCGGATGAGGAAGCGCGTGGTGGTGTGTGTGCGCGTGTGCGTGTGGCTGCGCCGGCCCGTGGTGCAGCAGCGGGTGGACGTGCACGTGCTGATGCGCGTGCGCCGGCGCCTCGAGGCGGCCGCGCTGCGGTGGTGGTGGCGGCGCTAGGCCTGGGGGGCTTCCGGCCAGGCTGCCCTCGAGCTCGAGGGGCTCCAGCTCGAGGGCGCGGAGGTTCTGCTCACGTAGTCGTTCCTCCTGGCGCCGTTTGAGGCGGCGGCGCAGGAAGCTGCAGAAGCAGCAGAGTAGGACGATGAGACCCCAGATGAGCCAGAAACCGGCGAAGCACGTGAGGAACGTGTAGGTGCCCTGGGACATAACCATGGCGGCGGCGGGGCGGCGGGTCCTCGGCTGCTTCACTGGACACTGGGTTCCTCTACGTGGCCCCGGGCCCGCGCCACGCTCCCAGGCGCCGCCAGCGTCACTCGGGGACCTGCGGCCGGGGGCTGCTCGCGGCGGGGCTCAAGTCGTGCGCGCGCCGGCGGGGGGCAAGAGCAGCGGCGCCCGCTCCTTCCCATGGCGCCGGTGGGAGCGCGGGTGGGCCTCACCCGGGGCCGCGCGGGACCTGTAGAACAGACACAGGGCGCGGTGAAGGCGCGTTGCAGCCCCGACGACTTCCCTGCCTGCGCCCGTGCCCTGCGCAGTTCTGGGGAAGCCTCCTCTGCGGGAACCCCCGCACTCCCCCCGGGGCGGTGACGTCACCATGGGGATGACGTCATACCTCGAGGTTTCCCCGGTAGGGCTTTCCCGGATCTGAGACCCGGCCGCCGCCGCAGCTGAGCCGAGGGGACTCCAGGCAGGCCAGCAGAGGGCGCGCGAAGGCCAGTCTCGGCCTCTGTACTCAAGGGAGGTTCGCTACCCCACGGGGTACCCCAGCTCGGAAAGGGTTTCAGAGGCCCGTGGACAGACCCTCAGGGCGCTGAAGAGGAGTTTCTGCGCGGTTGCTTTGCGGCGGGAAAAGGGTGGCCCACCTCCTATAGCCCCACAAGCAGCCCACCGACGCCCAGCTTTAGCCCTAGGCATCCGCCGCTCTAGGCCTTGTACCCGCTCCTACCCATGGCCGCGCAAAGCATGGAACATCTAGGTCCGCACTGCGGGCCTCCTGGTCGTCGCCGCTCTTGTAGAAGAGGCTCAGGAGGGGTCGTTCCGGCTGTTACTGCGTGCCACTGGCCTGCTTTTGTCTGCACGTCCGGGCGTGGGCTGTTCCCTTTTTTCCTTTCCTCTAGGCGCCTCCGCCTGTCAGATCCCAGCTCTGTTTCCCCAGCCTCCTACCAATTCGCAGCCTCATTGGCCCTACCCTCCTAGCACCAGTAGGCCTTATCAATTCCTTTACGTTTCTGCAGAGGGTAGGAAAAGTAGCTCGTTTGCACGTGTATCACCTGGCCCATGGGCACCTCTAGTTCTGCCTCCTTCTTCCTCTCTACAGCCAGGGTTTAGAGAGGAACCTTGCATCTTGAGGTATGTAGGATGAAACCCTGACTGTGGAGTGACGGGTAGCAGGCGATTGTTCACCACCCCCGCAGAACAGAAGGGTGCCCTTCTTGAATGCCTTATACCCAGGGTTTTCACATATAACCCTTTAGGGTAACTGCAGTTATTCCTATTTTGCAGACGGAGGGGATGGGGAGGTGGCAATTAGCTGTGTAGAGGGCAGATGGCAGTGCCTTAATTTGAACCCAAGCCTGGCCACAAAACCCTAGCCAGGGGTGGGAGAGTGCTGCTGCTTGAGCTACTTTGTGGGCCCCTCTTCCAGGAGCCCCATGGACAGCCCCCCATCCTCAACATATCCAAGGCACACACACACATTTAGCTCTGGGGGCCGTGGTGGGCCTGAGCTCCAAGCAGGAGGTCCACATCAAGCTGTCTCAGACTGTTCTGGCAGCACGCTGGGGGGAAGCCAGGCCACGGGCCACCCCACACTTCTCCCAGATGGATCCTGTCTGATTCTCTGGCTGCCTTATGCCATGTGCCACTTGGTCCCCGTGCCAGTCCCTTTCTCCTGGGCCTGTGTTCCAGAACAGACAATGGCAAGAACAATAGCTCCACCCGCCCCCTCCACAACCCTGCCATGAGGCTGCCATGGCGACGCAGCCCAGATAAAAACACGATGCTGCCAGTCACTGGGAGTTAATTAAATCTGTTGTTCTCCTTTTCCTGAGCCCACAGGAATTTTCAGGAATGCTCTGAGGAAGCTGGCACTAACTAGGGGGCCCCTTGGCCTGCAGAGCAGGAATAGCTCCAGATCAGAAAAGGTACTTCTGGGACTGGAGGTGAAGGAGTTTAGCTGAATTAGAAATAGAAATATCTGCCAAGGACTGTCTACTGCATGTCAAGCCTTGTTCTAGGCCCTTTCCATTTGGAACCTCACATGATATGTAATACCTCCTTCTCAGTGGGGGCCCATTTGATAGATGAGGAAACAGGGCCAGAGAAATGATTTGCCCCAGGTCACACAGCTGATAAGGGGAGGAGTAAGGATTTAGCTGAGTCTGAATCGAGAGTCAGTCAAAATACTTTCCATTACAAGACCACTGAGACATAAATGAAGAGCCCAGTGCATGTGAGCACTTGGCACATGAAGACTTGGCAGCCATGGGGATACTGAGCTGACTGGCCAGCTTGTAGCCAAAACATACCTTTCTGTTCCTTCGCACCAAAGCCCTGGGGCTTCTGGCCACCATGCCTCAGCTCAAGAGTAGGAAAACGCTATAGAGTGGAGAAATGGGATGGCAGCTCCAAGGTTAACAAGGAACAAATAACAGAGACTCTGCCCTGAGGGGCCCAGCTCAGCTGACTGGGCATTAAGGTGGACAGAGGCAGGCCACAACCAAGACTCTCTGGGTGCCAATGTGGCCCCTCAGCAAGGAGGCAGGAATCACTGCCATATTTTATGGATTAGGCCGCTCTCTGTCATGCTGGCGCCAGTGCCCAGTTTGAGTGGGCATGGGTTTGATGCTAAACACTCCCTCTTAGGCTACTACTTCACTCAGTGGTACTCTGGCAGGCCCAGAGGGCATGGGTCCTGCCAGAGGCCTCCCTCCGGCCTGTGTCTGGCCCACAGGGAGTTGCTTAGTACATTTCATCTAATCCACAGTAGGTGCTCAACACATAAATGTCAAGAGACCTTTCCAGATGCTCTTCCTGACAGACCAGGTTTCTCCAATCTTCCTCAAAGAGCTGTCCCTTTACCCCTTCGTACTTCTGTGCAGGCTCCTGTCTGTGTCTGGGGAGCCCTTCAGTGCAGATCCTGCCTGCCACCTCTTACTCACAGTCACGCACCCTCTCCATCCCCTCCAGACTCTCCAGAGCAAATACCGCATTTGTCCAACTCCAGCTGTGTGCTAGGGGTTGTGCCTACCCCCTTAAGTCTGCCATTTTATGATTTGTTTCTTCTTTCTCCTTTCTTACCTTCTTGCAGGTTATTTGAACTTTTTTTTTAGGATTCCATCTTGATTTATTTACAGTGTTTGTGAGTGTATTGTTTTGTATGTTTTCTTAGGCCACACACTCACTGGGGTACAGCAGGGGGACACAAACAAGACCCCAGGGGGTGAATTTCTTAACCTCTGTAATGCCAGTTTCCCCATCAGTGACCATGGTGAAAACTGAGCTAGTCCATGCAAAGGGTTTGGAGATGCCCAACACACATTAGTGCTGATGATGGCAGCTTCGGAGCTGGGGATGCAGAGATGTGCATGTCCTTTAGGTGCTCCCTGCCTGAGGACTGGATGTCACAAATCATTCTCAGTCATCCTACAAACTAGGTTAGCATTCCTCCCATTTGACAGATGAGAGCACTTGGCTCAAAGAAATCAAATGATACCCAAGGTCACACAGATTTCTTATTCTGGTGCCTGGTGCACTGCTGTGGGCATCTACCACATTGCTCCTCTGCATGAAGAACCCCAGTAATCTTAGACCCTTAAAATCTACTAGATCTTTTATCTCAGTAAAGGGCCCACCATTTGCTCCAGCCACTAAATTCTGTTTTTACCCTCAGTGCACTGTGCCTTCATCTGTCTACTTCCTTTGGTCCCCCTGCCACTACTTCGCCAGGCCCCCATCATCTCTCACCTGGGCCCCTGTCACCATGCTTGCCACCGCCCTCTGTACTTCCATGCTATGCTCCTGTTCAGCCTACCCACTTGCCACATTGTCGTTTCCCCCAGGCCCTTTCCTGCCTGAATCCTCTGGCAACTCCCACCCCTTCAGGAAGCAGCCTAGCTCTTTAAGACAGTGTAGATGCGTGCCTCTTAAACTTGAATCAGCGTCAGAGCTATGGGGAGGGCTTGTTAAAACAGAGTGCTGGGCTCTGCTCCCAGTGTTTGCTTCAGTAGGTCTGGGGTTGGACCCGAGAGTTTGCATTTCTAACAAATTCCCAGCAGATGCTGATGATGTGGTCCAGAGAGCACACTTGGAGAACTGACCTAGATCATGGCCTCTGGGATGAACTCCTGCCAAGGCATCTTCAGCCTCACCTCTCAGTGCCCTTCCCTCTGCAACCAGCCTGTGTTTCCATCCTGCACTGCTAAGTTGTGCTTTCTTTCCCTGAAGTTCTTGCCCCCACACTTACTACTCAGCTTCATGGCCTCACTGTCACTTTGCTGGACAAGTCAGCTCCAGGTGGCCTTACTCCCCAGGGTTGGAGAAATCCAGGGATGTCAAAGTGTGCTGCGGTTGCCTGTGTGCGACTCCAGAGGTTGCATCTGTCTTGTCATCTGGCACACAGATGGCAGCTCCAAAACCACTTGGTAGGAGTGACTGGAGATGCCTAGTTCCCTGTTTGGTCTTATAGCCACAGGACAGGAAACACTTCAAGAATGGATCTGGGGGCACCTGGATGACTCAGTCGGTTGAGTGTCTGACCCCCGATTTTGGTTGAGGTCATGACCTCACCATCATGAGATCAAGCCCCATGTCAGGCTCTACACTGGGCATGGAGCCTGCTCCAGCTCCTCCCTCTCCCTTTCCCTCTGTTCCCACCCCCCACCAAATAAATAAATAAATAAAATCTTAAAAAAAAAAAAGAGCTGGGTCTGCATCCAATTCACTCCTGGGAAATGTCAGCCATTCACCAAAAAGTCAGTGAGAGAGAAGCCATCACCCAGCTCTCGACCTTCGCAGGGTGGTTTACAAGTGAGATGAGGACCCATCATCCATGTGAATAAAAGAAAATGGAGGCATATGCGAGGGGCTCTGGAATGGACAGAGGGAATCCCAGATGGCAGGGTTTTTGGGTCATAAGGTACTCAGAGCCACCAGTCAAGCGAAGGGACAAAGACTCAGACCAGAGGACAGCAGTGGGAGAATGTGGTGTGTAGAGTGAGGATGGCTAACCTGTCCTGCATATCCAGCACATGCCAGTCCCATTGCTGGCCTCTTCACATTCATTATCTCACACCCAGGAGGTGGCTGCTGCCATCCCCATTCTACAGACAAGGAGTTGGGCCAGCTCAGGCCCACATAGCCAGGGGGTTGTGAAGTCCAAGTGACTGCAAGGCCCACTGTCCTGGCAGGAAGGCAGGCACTGGTAACAATTTTACACTCCTCCCACACCAAGACAGACGAACTGAGGCCAGAGAGAGGATTGCCGCCATAGTCAGCCAGGCGTAGAGCTTACCCGAGCCTCATTTCCAGTTAAGCCAAGGTACTACAGGTACTAGAGGTGCTACAGGTAGCACCTCTGTGACCCAACCCTGGCACTGGGCCAGGAACCCAGGGCTTGGAAACTGTGAACAAGACAACAGACCGGGGTCACAGAGAGCTGTGGGCAGAGGGGCCCTGCGTGGCTCAGTGTCTACTGTACTCCCATTTCTCCCTCCAAGGGAGTTGGCCACACCTCAGGGGCTGGGGTGGGGGGGAGGGGGGAGACGAAGATGCCCTCTTCAGAGAGTCAGCCTGGCATAACACACAGAGCACTAAAGAGAGAGCTAGGGTTCAAATTAGGCTGTGTGGCTCCATCCCAGCTATTCTCATGTCTGAGCTGGAGTTTCTTTGCCTGTAAGACAGGGATGATGAGACCTGCCTAGGATTGCCAACGGTGGAGCAAAACTGATGAGGGAAGTGAAAACACTTCAAGACTGGTGTACACAGCTGCATGTGACAAACCAAAAGCCAATACTTCGCAGCTTCAAGAGGCTCAAATATGGAAACCAGCCCATGGCACTATATCTACACAAACCTGGAAGTGGTCCAGCAGAAACTACCATCGCTTTACCATGGACCAGAAGTCATGGCCTCGTGACTCTCAGGCTGGACACAGTTCATGGGCATGTTTTGTTGGCCCACAATCAATTCTTAAAAATATCCTGATTAGTTGCCAAATTTAAAACCCAGGAGATTTTACATAAAAGTCTGGATTCTTGGTTCATCTTGAAAATTATCTGGTCATTCCAAGTCCACATTCTCACATGGTGACATAAACTGTAGCTGGGCAGCTCCCTGGCCCACCTCACTCACTCATTCCATTGCTCCTTGGGCCCTAGAGGCCCAAGGGTTTCCACCAGCTGAACTATAAATGAGCACCCACAGTAGCCAGCAGTACATGGATGGGCCCATCTCTGCTGAATTCTACCACAGCTAGGGCTGCAAGCTGATCAGGCCACAGAGCCCAAAAACCAAGAATTTGGGCATTGGGGGGTTCTCAGGTAACTGAGGTAGCCCTCACTCCTTAGTTTCGCCCAGAGAGAGAAAATGGAGGAAGGGAGCCAGCCCAGCAGCAGCACAGTCCTATAGAACATCTGGGTGAGCAAGAATCTGGCTGATTTTGGTGGAAGAAGGAAAAGTGTACTAAGGCTTGAAAGACGTAGGGAATTTCCTCACTGGAAGAATATGAAAGGAAGTTAAGAATGCTCCTCTAGAAGGCCCTACAGTTCTTTTCCGCAATAGATGGTGTGTGGCAGGCAGAGAGCTGCTGTGCCAGGAGAGAAACCTTCACTGAAGACTGAGTTCCACCACTTACTGGTTGTGTGACCTTGGGGAGATCACATTACCTCCCTGAACCTTGGAGTCTTCATCTTTAAAATGGGGATCATAAACTTACCTGCACAATTGTAAAGATTAGGAGATAATGAATGCAGAACACTCAACACACAGCAGGAACAGAATGAAAGGAGCCTGTGAATAATTCCAAGGGCACTCTTGCCTGCAGCATCAAGACTCAGGACTGAGTTCGGGCACCACCCGTCTAAGGACATCTTATGCCAAGGCCTCAAATGCCTGGGGTAACGGTCACCTCTGGTGCCCCAGGACACTTCCCTGGATGGGAAAGGAAACCCAATGGTGGTTGTGGTCACTGGGCTGTTGAGTCCAAGGTCTGTGATTGGAGGCTGGCATCTGCTGAGTCAGGTCTGGGAGAGCTGGCAGGAGGACCATTTCTCTCCCCAGCACCCTGCCGCTGTCGGCTGGGGGAGGTTGGGAGAGGAGCCAGAGGTCATTTCCTCTGACTCAGAGGCCATTCTCCTCCCAGAGGAGCTCCCCTGGAGGACAGCGCATCTCCATGTGGCGCTGGCCTGCCTGCTGGCCAACCTGCATGCCACCCAGCACAGTCTGGGCTTTGTGCTCAGACAAGAAAGGGACACTTGTGATCCAGACAATGGGCTGGGGCGCTCCCATTTGGCCTGAGCTTCAGCTTCCCTGGGTCAGCAATGTCCTTTTCCTCTGCTTCTACCCACTCTGCTCCCACCACTCCCTGGAGAATGGTGGCTTGGAACGTGGAGCAGAAACCCATCACCGGCCCTAGCCGCGGTTTGGCATATGCCCTGGCCATGAGGAGGAGGGACGTAAGCTTCTTTCTTCTCCCCTGGTAAGGAACATCGCCTCTGTGGCACCCAACTCGGGTCAGACCATTTTGCTGGCGAGTGGTGGTAGTGGTGGTGGGGGTGTCGGAACACAGACGCCGGACGGACGCAGCCATCAAGCCTCCTCCTCCCGCAGCAGGCCCAGGGGCTGGGCCGCCCCCACATTTGCAGCCACCCCAAGAGCCCTGCTGCGACGACTGCAGCCACGTGGGAGCTAGCTCGTGCCCACGGGGCCGCTCACCCCCCCCCCCCATCTTCGAGGAGCTGTGGAGGCAGGCACACCCAGACGGGTGAAGTTATTACCCCCACCGCTCGAGGGCGAGTCCCTGCACCCCCACTCCCCCTGCGCCCCTGGGCTGCGGCCCCGCGTGGGGTGGGGGAGGGGCGGGAGGGGGCGTCGCCGCCCCGCAGCCGCGTTGCCTGGGAGCGCAACCCCGTTGCTGTGGCAACCGTTTCCAAGCGAACCGGTGGCGGCTCGCGCCCGGCTTTGGCTCCCTCGCTCACTGGCGCCCTCCCTCTCCCTCCCTCCCTTCCTCCCTCCGGAGTAGGCTGGGGGAGGGGCTGGCCGGGGCGGGGGTCCGAGGCCGCGACCCGGGGCCAAAGCTCGGAGCTGCCCGCGGGGAGGGGCTCAGCCCGGGACCATCTTCTGCCCGCGCTCCGGGCCCGCCCGGCCCGCCGCCGCCGCCGCGGTACTCACGGGCCCAGACATCCTCCTCGAGCTCGTCCTCCTGGCTCGGGGCGAGTGGTGCCGGCCCCGCGGACAGAGCCCCCGGCCTGGGGGAGGCGGCGACGGCGGCCCCGGGTAGCTGACTGTGGCAGCGAAGGCGGCTGCGAGCGCTGGGCTCGAGCCTCGGGGCGCGCACGGGCGCGTACACGGCGCGTACCAGCCCGGCGTGCGCGCGCGCGCGGCAGCCGGCAGGGGGCCCCCACCCCCAGCCTTTCGCCAGCGAGGAGGCTGTCCTGGGAGCCGAAGGCGGAGGACCTGGCACCCACCTGCCGCGCGGAGATTCAGGCGCGGAGACTCACACGCGGGGCGCTGGGTTCACCCTGCACAGGGTAAGCACGCGCCACTCCGCACCGCTCCTGGCAACAGGCTGTCCGGAACGGGCGCACGCAGGCAGACCGGGTGTACACAATCGGCCGAGCACACAGGATGCTCAGTCAAGCAGCTGACCTACACATAGAGCTCAACCCGGAAAGCACACACAAGTCCAGGCACCGGCCACATCCTGAAATGCACAGCACACATGTAGTGGGCAAGAGTTGGAGCAGGCAGGTTACCCCAATGTTGTTCCAGCTCACCAAGGCATGGCCCCTCCCAACTCATGGCCCCTCCCAGTGTGTCTTCAGTGAGCATACATCACCACTTCTACTAAGAAGTGGTACGGGGAAGAGACCCAGTGCTGGATCCATAGCCTTGGGCTTCATGGACCCTGCTCATACCCAGGGTACAGAGGTGAGCACTAGTGAGAGTCACCTCAGTGTCCGGCACCATACTGACAGCATAGAGCCTGCTTGGAATTCTCTCCCCTTCTCTCTGCCCCTCCCCTGCGCGCGCGCTCTCTCTCTCTCAAAAACAATTAAACTTAAAAAAACAAAAAACAAAACCCTCCACCACCATACCAGCTGGGACATTTTGGTTTGCAAGTGACAGAATCCCAAAACAAACAGGCTTGGACGCAGAAGTGTTTGACTCATGTAACTGAGAAATCCAGAGGTAGATTTTAGCTACGATCACAATTGGTTCCAGGTGTCCCAACAATGGTATCAGCCATGTATCTATTCTCTCCACTCTTTCTTCCGTTTGCATGATTCTTGAAAATTCCCATGTGGTGGCAAGGATGACCTCCCTGCCCCAGCTCTAGGTTTATATCCTGCCACCCAACCCCAGAGAAGAGAACCTCAATTCTTTCCCAATAATTCTAGCCAGCCCCCCAAAAGACTTTTTGGATTCATTTTGGCTTAGTATCCTTCAGTGAACCAATCCAGTTGGAGGGATATGTGTTCAGCCACCCAGTATCCATTTCCTTTTCTTTGGTTACAAGGCACCCTATTTCATCGGGGCGGGGGGGGGGCTCATTGCACCCCCTGGGTGCCATCATACTGGGCTTGTGAACCCAAGTGCCCTGCTCCCCCAGTGAACAGTGGGCAGATTTCCAGCTGGGCCATTTGGGCTCCTTGGGTTTGCAGTCAGGCTCAGTGATGCAGACACAAACATGGCTGTAGCCATCTTGCTTCTGGGGGTCATATCCTGATGAGAATGGGGACTGTGACTAAGACCCTGGAGGTGCCCCAGTTCTGGTTCTTCCTATCACATCCCTCCATAACCTTTTTAACACTCTAAGTTAGTTGGAGAACAGTTCTGTCGCTTGCAACCAAAGATCTCTAACAGCTGGGTCCCACACTCTAGGTGTATGTGTACACAGGGGGTGTAAACCCAGCCCCATCTAAACCACATGGACTGAGACAGGAGGCTCCCCAAAGTAAACATGGGGTGCCTTTGTACATGCTAAGCGGACACCCTGACAAAACCAGTTAAAATCTTTCAGGGATTCCCTTGCCTTCTAGATGAGGCATCTTTTACATGGCTTTCAAAGCCCAGTGTAGTGCTGACTTTGGCTCCAGTTGCTCCCCTCTTTCACTTATCACACACTCATCACTCACCCCACTGCACCCACCCCAAGCCATGCTAAACCACTAGAGGCCCTAGACCATCCATCTGGCTCCTCCACCCAGGTATATCTGGCTCTGAATCCTGGAGGGTACTAACTCTGACATTTTTGTGGCCAAAGGGGCGTTGACCCCCACCTCCTCAGCAGTCCCAGCCCCACCAGGTCTAGAATCATCCCTGCCACAGTGCTGATCACACTAGGTCTTACCTGTTCCCATTTCTATCTCCCTACCAGAGAGAGCTCCAAACTGGCGGGGGCCTTGTCTACATCTGGGTCGCCAATTCCCACCATAGAGCTGGGTGGTTAGGTGACCTTAAGAAAGGCTTGTTGGGAAGTGAATTCTGGGAGTTTTCACTGCTAAGGAACTCATTGTGGCAAGAGCTTTGATGAGGTGAACTGTAGCCAACGAGTTCCCTGGGTGCGTACCAGGGAAGGGGGATTGTGGGAGGTCCCTGGTGGGAGGTTGTGACCTACCTACAGGCAGAGTGCTCCAGGGACCTACTGGTCCACCTGGCACCCACTCACCCTTGCACACCTGCTCAGGGTGGGCTTTGTCTTCTGCACAGACACTGAACTGCCCTCCCACCAAAACAGCAAATGTACCTTAGGCCCCAACCTTACACTTATGGGTAGGATCCAGCTTCATTTTCAGCTGGCTTCCTCACCATTCTGCAGCAGCCATTAACCAGCTGGAAGACCTTGGGCAAGGCCCTCTCCAGTTTCCCTCAAGAAGCAGCAGCACTCGTCCCACCTACTACCAAGAGCTGAGCCACCACCAGAGGCCCCTTCTGCTTAATCAGTGCTTAGAGCCTTCTGGCTGCCCTGGAGACAGCTATTAGCCTGGCACCCAGCACCCACTCTCCTAGGAGGCAAGAGTCCTGCCAGTGACCCAGGGGCTCAAAGAGGGGACTGGCCACTTTTATGGATTCTCATAGCTGCCCTATGAGGTGATGGGTATCACACCCATCTTTCTAGACAAGAGAAGGGCCTATGCAAAGCTAGCTTGAAAAGCGGCCTGATGAGACTTGAACCCAGAACTGTCCAACTGCAAAGCTCATATAGCCCCTGTGGCACTAGTACCTAGCCTAGAACAAACCCTTACTGTGGTTACAGAGCATCCTTGGGGGGCTGGGGGCATTACGTATGGACTATGGTGCAGCAACAGGTTTATGAAGTCTGGGACAGACTTGTCAACAGACTCTCATCCCTGTCTTTGCATAGATGGGATGCTATGGAATGTTGCCCCAATCCCTCTGTGCCCAGGTGAATAAGTCTCCTTTAAGGCCTGGCTCAAATATTTTCAGAGAACCCTCCCTGATGCCCTCATGGCTGATCCCTACTGACCTCTGCCACAGCCTAACTCCCAGCATCACCACTGTCTCACCTCTACCCAGCCACATTTCCTGCTCCCAGGGCAGAGAGATGGCTCTAACATACCAGCCCTAGGCCGAGCACGCAACAGGTGTCCAGGTAAGACAGTGGGTAGATGTTTCTAACAGCAGCTTCCACCTTGCTCCCCAGGCTGCTCCAAGCCCACAACTGGTGGCCAGACCACCTTGGCCTTGGAAGGGACCCTACCAGCTGAGCCTGCCTCACTAGTACAGGTAGCGCCAGACTCACACCCTAGTGGGAACCCAAGGCTTCTTCCCTTAGGCTTCATCCCACCTAGGAAATTGAGAACCCACTGGGTATGCCCAAAGGCCACCAAGGCCTGGCTGCCTGGAGAGGCTACTCCAAGATCAGCTGGGGGGTGGGGGAGTGTGAGGGGGAGGGTTCAGGGCCTTGTTGGAAGGGCAGCCCCCACCAGGCCCACCTCTGATCCCTTCCCACTTCCAGCAGGGCAAGGGAAGCAGGAAGACCCCTGGAACACCAGGAGCAAGAAAGAGGCAGGCAGGGCAGCTGGCCAGGTTTGTGCTCGACTGTATTCACTCAGAGACACGTGGCAGCTTACATTGGACAAAATGAGTAATAAAAATTGGCTTTAAATACGGAAAAACCAGGGCCCTATAATCCCATGCTATCCTAACACTGGGACCAGGATGGCCATCACAATCTGGGAAGGACCAGAACTGGGGCCTGGGGTGCAGGTACACACCGCAGCCTACCCACTTCACACACACGCACACACTTGCACTCACACACACACCCCACACGCACACACAGGGAGGGATGGATTATTGCTGGGCACATGTGTCTATTGTTAAGAGGGGAAGTCTGGAATGTTTCAGAGTTGACTAAGGACAACCTCCCCCACTTCCCATGGCCTGGGCTGGGGCATTTCTGCAAGAGGTGTCTTCAGGACAGGGCCCAGCATGAGGGACAAGGTGCCCTGGGAGCTGGAAGGCAGAGGCAGACCCATCTGGGATAGCCTGGGCAGTGGACTGATGGGTCCCAGGGTCAGCCCAGTCTCTGGTCACACTTTGGCACAGGCCTAGGGGATACAGAGGCCCCAGTCCAGCTTTGACAAGTGCTGATGAGGGACAGCAACGGACCCCAGAGGTGATAGCCCTGAGCCCGGGGCAGCAGAGGCAGGCATGAGTTTCACTCAGAGGTCAGCGGTGGCGAGCACAGTGCTGGGGGCTCAGGGGCCTTGCCTGACCCAGCCTCGGCCTGTCCGAGCTGGGCCCAAGGAGCCTTGAGTTTGGCAGTGGCCCTTCTGCCAGCTCCAGGGTAGGTCTTAAGAACGCTCCGGTTGCTATATACATTCGTACAAATACATAAATACAGAAAGCCCCGAGCTCCACGGACAAGAGCTGAAGGGACGCACCTTTGTCCCAGGGACAGCCCAGGCCTTGCCAAACTCAGCCAGACCAGGGGCTGAGGGGCAGAGGACACTGGGGACAGCTCCGGCTGTGTTCCCCAGGCCACAACTTGAGTGGACAATGGGGAAGACCACTGTGCAAAACTGTAAACAGCGCTCGGAGTAGCTGCTACCGCCAACCACCGGTAGGGGCCTCAGGCTGGGGGCTAGAGGCGGGTTGGGAGCTCGAGGCGGGTGGGGAGCTCTTCCTCACTGTCGCTGCAGTTCCCACAGCAATCCTGGAGGGATGGGGAAGACACGGAGGGAGAGAGGCAGAGCGAGTGCCATTAGCCACCAGTGCCATCACCCAGGCCGGCCCTGCCAGGAACTGCCTGGAGCCATGCTCTGGGGTGGGGGAATCCCCATGAGGGGCCTGGAACAGCAGCTCAGGCCAGAC